TTCTACAATTTTATCACCTTTAATAAAAAGTAAATATTTAATTACAACAAATAAATATGTATGTATTCTTTTTTAAACTCTTTAGAATCTAAATTTAAAGTATTGGTATATTGTGAATTATCATATACATATTGTAAGAATGAAAAACTTATTTATTTTACTGTATATCAAAATCGAAAAAGTCGAAAACTTATTCATAAATTTCTTATTGATGATAGTAAGTTGTATTTTGTACAATATTAAAACTTATCTCATTCTTTAGCTTGTTCATTTGTGAATGGAAACAAGCGAGATTTTCAATTTAAACATGATTCAGCCGTTGAAAATGTAAGATTTTTGATTATTGTATGAAAAATTCATTTTAACTTTATATGATTTAGTTTACCACTGAAACAGGTGTTGCTGATACATGGATTACATCTTTTAATAGAATTACAATTCGATCAAATATTGATAGTAAGAGAATTTGATAATATATTAGATTTTATTATCTATTTATTAGTTGACGAAGTTTATGAAAATCCTGAAGAATGTGTTTTTCTATCCGTAATATATATTTTTTTCCTTAAGATTAATCTTTAATTGCAATAGTTAATATTTTCTAGAGATCATCATCATTAGAATATTTACAAGATACACCTATGCGACCACCACCACGACCTCCTCGACCAATCGCTAATCCGATTTTACCTGAAAATATCTATGTATGTCTATATGATCATCATTCAACAGAAAATAATTCTTATGAACTGGAATTCAATTGTGGTGATCTTTTATATATAATTAATACGGATGGACCCACCTTTTATGTAGGTCGTCGATTAATACTTCCTTACAATAATCATTATCAAAATCCAATAGGACTTGTATATAAAGATTATATTAAACCTGCATATGAAAAGATTTGCTAATTGTGATTTTTGTTTTAATTTATTAAATGAAAAATATGAATAAAATATATTAGGCACGTTCACTCAATGGTTCTCGATTTACAGCTGGTTGAACACGAAGACGTGGTTCAACTTGCTTCCAATATGCATATTTATCAAGATTATTTGTAGATTCAGCGAGATATGTTCGAGCATCAACACGATATGGTGCAACATCAATATTATCAGGGTCAAAACGACGAATTTTAACAAGATTTTCAAAAGCCTAGAATCAGCAAAAAAAAGACATATATAACATAGATTTATTCTTAATCTTATGTGCTACTAACTAAACATGCTCGTTCTTCATTAACATTTCCCCAAAGAAATAATTCTGTCAGTGCTGAATTAAATTTAACTGCATCGGCAATACTACATAATCCATCGCCTCTAATATAATTCGAACGAATATCAAGACTAAAATTGAATTTTTGTATAATTCTTAATACATAATAATATTCTTACCTTCGAAGTTTCGAATTTGAATGAAGTAATGCTGTTGCTATATGACCTGCACCTTCATCTTCTAATCGATTAAATGCTAAATTAAGTCGAAGAAGACTACATTTTTCAAGCATTGGTCCTAAATAAATAGCACCATCACGTGTAATTCGATTACTAAATATATATAGATTATTTATTTTTATTTAATCAAAATAAATATTTAAACATACCAACTAAGATCAAGATGATATAATGTTTGATTATGTTGCATTTTTTGACAAATCCACATAAAACCTACATCACGAATTTCAAATTTTTGAACATGTAATTCTTGTAAAACAGTATTTTTCTAAATAATTTCTATATATATAATTCTTGAATTCATTAAAATAAATAATAACCTCAAGCATATTTGCAATATGAATAGCAACATCATCCATCCAATTTGTATAATGAAATTGAGGTACTGGACGACTTATATCAATTGATTTTATACTTGGATTATAACGTAGAATAGTTAATATTGCAATTAGACTATCCATTTCCTTAAATAAAGCGTTATTTTATCGCTCGAATAAATATTATTTCTATAATAACATACTAAATCACAATTTGATAAATTAAGATTTTCAAGATTAATATTTATTTGAAGAGTTTCAGCAAATGCCATTCCACCACCTTTTCCAATACTATTATCAGCAAGTGATAAAGATGATAATGCTTGATTTCCCTATTTTTGCAAAATTAAAATAAAAAATTAAATTTGAAAAGTTTTACTTTAAGACCATGAGCTAAACTTTGAGCACCTTTTCGATGAATATCATTACCTTGTAAATTAAGTACTAATAAAAATTGATCTTGCTTTAATAGAGAAAAAGAAAGAAGTTATTTTCATTTTAAGAGAAAAATAAAATTTACTGCTAAAAAATCTGCAAGGAGAATAGCACCTT